AAAATAGCCAGTTTTTAATCACATAACTGTGACTTAGTCATCAGTAAGATGCCTTTGCTAATAAAAACTTGTAGGAATAGGCTGACTCCTAGCTCAGTTCTGAGTCATAGCTCAAAATGCCGTTGGCCAAATTACCAAACCCACTGTTTTCTTTGGGACTGCCAGATGAGGTCTGTAACCCAACCATCATACATCATTCAGCATGGCTAAACTTATAAAATTCGAGAATCAAGTGCAGGAGTAAGATAGCCTATTTCTTCATGGAAAGAACAGGATGAAGCGATAAATGAATGTCAACTATGTTTAAGTTTTAGGAGCTTTATAAACATCATATTTAATCCTAACAATTATCTTCTGAAATAGGTACCAATTTTAAAGATGAGAAAACTGAACCCAAAGAAATGTAATTGCTAAATTTCACACAAACAATAAGTTTTAAAGCCTGGATTCCACCCTAGGCACTCTGATTCTGGAGCTTGTGCACTTAACCACACTCCCCTGTCCTGTTCTATTACACATCCCTCCACATGACAGCAGTGCTTAGAAAGCAACTTGGTCTTAACAGAAGAAGGAGCTTTTCACAGTGAGTGAAAAATAGGCATTCTGAAAAGTCCAGAAGTAGACCAATTGTAACATGAGAAAAGCAGAAATGTTTAAAGTTCAAGTAAACTCTCATATCAAAGTAACTAAAGAGTCTTTCTACATTTTTAGTTTGCACGTAGCAAGGAAATACAATTAATTCTGCTCAGGCGAATCATACAATCATTCGTGCCATTTCAAAATTTGCTGAAGCTGTCCTTAATATAAGCAATTATTTCAGTTTCACAGATGAGTAGCACGACGTTAAAAGACAATTGTTTGTAATGTGTGCATTATTTTTACATTTGAATGAGTGAGAACAAAGATGGGTCTAAACATCACATTTATTGGAGAAAAATGAAAACATCAAACATGGAAAATTTAAAACTTATTAAAGATTTCTTTTTGCCCAGAAATGGAACTAGCAATAAAGTGCTCTAGATGAAGAGGAAATAACCCTTGGGCATTACTGCATGCAACAAGGCAACTCACACACTAAATCGAAAAAAATGAAGACTATCATATTAAAGTTATAGCCTTGATTTCAAAATCTTTATTCCTTATGTCCAAATAAATTTTGAGATAAACAACATCTGATAATTTCAATTCTAGTAACCTATAGGAAACTCAACTATTTATATCATATGAAATGAAAAGTAGTCTAACTTATGTAACGACAGGTAAGTAATGTTCACAGCAACACATTCTGTAATAATTAAAAATTCAAAAAAAAGACCTAAGTGTTCATCAGTAGAGGAATAGATAAATAAAAATTAAAATATGGTGTAGTCATAAACTGGAATCTTGTATAGCAATTAAAATGAGGAGCTTGAGCTGTATGTCTCAACATGGATAGATGTTAAAAATGTGAAATTAAAGAAAATTGAGCAAGTTTCATACAGCAAAATATCACTTAAGCAAATTAAAACAAAATGAAATTCTATCGTTTACGGATATTTTTGAAAAAGATAATGTATAAACACACCAAAATTATTAGGGTATTTGTCACAATGAAAGGGAGAAAAATTCCAAAGGAAATGTTTTATTTATTTTTATTAAATAATATCTGAAGCAAATATAATAAAGTATTAAGCCAGTAGTGAGATCATGAGTATTATATTATTCCTTTTAATTTTTAGTACTTCAAAATATTTATAGAAGTGTCTTTTTGAATTCAACTATTTAAATATTTCAGGCAAAATGTATTTGGAATGAATTATTTAGAAAATTATTTCCATTTACTGTAACATCTAAACCACTCTCTCAAAGGATAATCATATAGTCTTACTAAAGATAAACTGAACATAAATCTCTATGAAGATTTCAAGATAACAATATTGGATATTCTACAGGATTTAATTTAGGAAAAATAGCTGGAAATTTCAAGCTCTCATGAGCTTCATACTCAATTTTGTTTCACAGATTCCTATTTGTTCTAAAAAAGTGCAATTTTGACTCCTTGTGAAGAATGTCCCTGAGAAGTCAATCTTAACATTTCACTTTGAGCATCCTGGGAAAAGGGAGGTACATTCTGCACTTATGGTTCCACAAATTACCCGTGCAGTGAGGAATAGAATGATTATTATATATGGCTGAACTGTATAGATTGGCGTGGACAAAACTAACAGAAAGTACTTAGGCACAAACAGATCCAGAATCTGAAAACCTAGTCATACTGGGATCATATACCTAAATTTAATTTTCTAGAAATTTACTAGGAACCAAGGTTTTTACTAGCCCAGGTTAAAATGGATGTCAAAGGTCATCAAGTTCAACCACTGTACTGAAGCGTGGGAAGTCAAGTTGAGCCAGCAAATGGTTGGGACTCTGGGGTCTCAGTAATCCGCTGCCCGTCTGTCAAGGAAATGGGGATAAGATTACCTGCTCTCAGTCACTGGATTGCTGCCCCTCCACCCTCTCATCTGTTCTCCTTTCCACAACCTTGATGACCTCTTCAAAGTACAAATCTGGTCAAGTTACTCCACTGCTTAAAACTCTTCAATGTCCTTCATCACTCTTAGGGTTAAGTTGAAATCCCTTAACAGGACTCACCAGCTTTGGCTGGTCTGACTTCAGTTTCTCTCTCCATCCTTATTTTAGCCCACCCCCTTTCTTGTTCTAACACTCTAACCAGGGTTTCTTCACCTCAGCATTAGTCTGTTGTAATTGACTGTCTACTTGGGCATATCTACCGTCTAGTCTGTGGAGATCACATTATGCTGTTTATAGTGGTAACATCAGTGCCTATCACAGTGCTTGGATTATAGTAGGTGCTCAATAAACATTTGCTGAAAGAAGGGAAGGAGGGAGGAACAAGGGAAAGAGGGAGAAAAAGGGTTATTTTGAGGAGAGTCTAAATGCAAAAATATTTTTATAAAGTAATAATAGGAATTATATGATTTGGAGTCAATTAGAGAAAGTAGGTTTTAGAATCTATCCACATGGCAGCTCAATGTGTCTATCTATGCCTCCACTTGATTTTGGGGGGAGAGGCAGACAATTACAGAACAAAATGTTTCAAAGCTTGCAGAGGTCAAAATGATACAATCCTTCAGACTTTGTTCATCACCAAGGTTCTTTAAAAACTCAATTAATGTGAAAAAAATTACAAAAACTCAGAGACAGCACCCAAATGCACAGACCCCGTGTGGATGGCAGGGTTTGTTTTATTGATCACGTGTCAACAAAGCCAGCTACATCTATGATGCCTAAGCTCAGGGCATGAACTCCTCACAGAGTTGATCCATTCTTTATGCAACATTTTTTAAAATGGAGTTTCCACAGCAGATATAAATCTACACTAAGTCACACAAACATGGAACCTAAGTATTAGCACCATGATGGGAAAAATCATAACCATGGTAAATGGATGGAGGTGAGGTGGTTGATCTTCAGGAACTTTTCCTCACCCTGGGGTCTAGAGCACAAAGTGTCAGAATCACTGATCTAGAGAAGTTTCCAAAACTCAATTTAATATGAAAATTATTGTCAGATCATCTGTATTTTGCCCAGAATTGTGTTAGGAAAATTGGGAGAAATTTAAAAGAGGCAAAATCCTCTATCAATACCCTAAAAATGATAAGTAGTTCTTAAGCATCTTTCTTTTGATTTTATATTTGTAATTTCAGTCCTCTTTCTTATCTGCTCCTCAGGAATGTAGAAATACTTGTAACTCATTTAAAAGACTTCAACTTCCTTCTACATAGATGTGGTATCAACAGGTTCAGAGTACCACCATTTTGTTTATTATGATAATCAACTTTTGTTATCTATCTACTCAAACTTTCTGCTTCAGGTATTTTTTATAGCTATGTTAATAAAAAAATCAATTGTCACTATTTCCACTTTAAAGTTTTACAAGATGAATTCTAAGTTATCTAAATCTTGGCACTAATTAAATAGCTTGAACCCCAATGCACAGCATAAAGTCAAAGTCTAACACGTAGGAGATATCCTTACTGTATTCTTAATTTAGAGAAGTCCATCTTATCAATGCATTTATTCATTAATTCAATAAATATTTACAGAGTGCTTATTATGGCTGAACATTTTTTTGTAAATTCTAGGGATATAATGATGAGCCAAAACAGACATGGTCCTTGCCCATATGGAGCTTAATATCTAGTGGGTGAGACTACAGCTACCAGGCACAAAACAATGATGAATTTAGCTGTCAAAAATGTGTAGAGTTGGGGGGCTGGCCCCGTGGCCGAGCGGTTAAGTTCACGCGCTCCGCTGCAGGCGGCCCAGTGTTTCGTTGGTTCGAATCCTGGGCGCGGATATGGCACTGCTCATCAAACCACGCTGAGGCAGTATCCCACATGCCACAACTAGAAGGACCCACAATGAAGAATATACAACTATGCACCAGGGGGCTTTGGGGAGAAAAAGTAAAAAAATAAAATCTTTAAAAAAAAGAAAATGTGTAGAGCTGTCAAATATGACCTTTAAGATAAATAGAGTTCGAAGTTTCACTCTGTACCCAGTAGATATTTAACTTTAGAGAGTATTTATATTCATTATTCAAAAGAATACAAACAGACAAACCGTCTTTTCTATCTTATTCCTTTGATTTTTATAAACATTGAGTAACATTCTGAAAATACTAGGATTTCTACTGTAATGCAGACCCTTAACATTTGCCTTCCTGTATTTTAAACAGGTATTCCTCAGGACAGAGTCTGTGGGAAAATGACAAACGTGTATTTACCTCTCAGTCAAATCCCACGTTTTCCATGCACTGTCTCAGGGTGCAAATAAAAATTTGTGTCACAATTGCTATCTTTCAGACTGGATGGATCTACTCAGATTAATATTTTAGAGAATGACAGGATTGAGAAAAAGAATAGGGTCTCACAAATGACAGGATATTAGCTCAAGGTAATGCCAAAGACAGGGGGAGGAGGCCAGAGAGCACTTACTGGTAAGTGGTTGGGCTGACATTGATGCGCCGAGGGTGACTTCCTGATTCAAATTTGCTTGCCAGAGTGACATTATTTCCAAACAGGCAATATCGTGGCATTCTCACCCCAACAACTCCAGCCAGCACAGAACCCGAGTGAATGCCTATCCTCATCTAAAAAGAAATAAAAAAGAAAAAGGATATTTTCATTTGGTATGCAACTATTTTTAATGAGAGGTAGTGTTAATAATGTAAACCATTAAACTATGAACTCCTCAAAGACTGGGACTGGGTCTTGGTCATTTTTATGAGCCCAATATGTGGACCATTATAGTGCCAATGAACATGGTGTTTGGCATCCTTGTGGAATAAATGAATGAATGGATTAATTATAGGAAAAAAATTATGTTTAATTTGCTACATAAATCTGGTTATAAGTTAAATCAGGTTTCATTTGTATATAATATGCTCTAAGACATGGAAAATGTATTATTCTCCCTCCAGTTATCTTCACACAAAACCCTATTTTTCCCTTCATAACATTAAACACAATTATAAGTTAAATATTTATATTTCTGTTTATTTTGCTTAAATGATGTATTTTCCCATGAGAGAAGGATCTGTATCTATTTCCTTACTGCTGAATATTCAGCACTTAGTACTTTACCTACAGCAAAGCAGGCACTCAATGGTAAGTGATGAATGTTGAATAAATTGCCTAAATTCCCTAATATACAATCAGAATGGCATTATAGAGAATTCAACCTTTGAGTTAATCAAGAAGTGTCAGCTAAAAATCCTGAAGAGTAAACTAAGCACTGTGTATTTTACTCTGAGAATTGCATAAATATTAGTCTGGTCCATGCATTGAAGGAGCCCTCAGCATAAGGTTGATATACACTTAAATGTGATTACACTAATGAAGTTGTGTCCACATGGTCTACATCAAAATAACTGAAGCTAATGGTGACCAAGTGAGAGATGATATCTTTAGGTCTAGGAGAATGTGGGTAACTCTGGGAGAGAGAGTAGATCTGCCGCAAGATGCCTACTAGGTAAGCAAAGTGTCACCCCTTTACTACCATGCATGCTGTTGCTGCTACAGTTGTGAAGACAAAAAGTCACTCTGAGACTAATCCTTGTCATAGAACTGGAAACTTCTGTATATATCAACCCATAATAAGATAGGTTAAAACCAATGTGATCCAGCTATAGCTCCTAACAACCTCTTTACTTACTTTTTAAAAACTGATTCTAAAATTTATTTGGAAATTCAATATGTTAGAAAGAGCCAAGTTACATTTGAGGAATAAGAAAAAAAAGTTGGAATCTTCACCCTACAAGACATCAAGTCTTAGTATAAACACATCCAATTAGTACATAGATATCATAACATTGCTGCCTAGATGGAGAAATAGACTAACAGAATGGATAGCCCAGAAAGAAAGATGACAGATATATAATAGAGTTGGCATTTCAGATTAGGCATTTCCATTAGGATGCTCTAGGTCAACTGTGTCTTCATGTGGAAAAAAAAATCCAAGTAGATTAAAGATATTAATGTAGAAAGCACAATTTTACAAATAATTGTTTTAATTAAGGTAAAGGTCAATCTGCAGTATCAGCAAAACCCTAAAATATAGACACCTAAAAAGTGTAGACTTTTATTACTCTCTCAGTAGCAATTCCCAGGTGAGTGGTCCAGATTGTCAAGCAGCTCTGTTCCCCTTAGTCAGTCAGGGTTCAGGTCTTCCTCCTCATGTCTTGTCACATATTCCTTGTTAAAAAACTTGAAGCTGAATCATGTTCCACCTCATGATTGGCAAGATAGACAAAAGAAGTCCAAGGTAAGGATCATGAAGTTACCATTTAAGGCGATCTTCATTCCTGTGTGTAGATCCAGATTTACATCTGGTATCATTTTCGTTCTGCCTAAATGACTTCCTTAAACATTTTTTTGTACTCTAGGTCCAATGGTGATGAATTATTTCAGCTTTTGCATGCTTGAAAAAGTGTTTTGCCTCTATATCTGAAAGATATTTTCACTGAGTATAGAATTCTAGATTGACAGGTTTTTTCCCAAGTATTTTAGTGATATTGCTCCATTGTCTCCCCTTTGCATTGTTTCCTATGAGAAATCTGCTGTCATTCTTAACTTAATTCCTCCATTTGTAATATATCTTTTTCTTCTGGCTGCTTTAAGTTTTTCTATTTATTGCTAGTTTTGAAAAATTTAGTTATGGTTTCCCTTGATGTTGTTTTCTTGATGTTTCTTGTATTTGGGGTATGTTGAATCTTTTGGATCTGTGAGTTTCATAGTTTTCATCAAATCTGGAAAATTTGCAGTCATTATTTCTTCAAATATTTTTTCTCTCTCTCTCAGAGATTCCAGTTACATGAACATTAGGATGCTTGAAGTATTTCCACAATTCACTGATGATCTATTCATTTAAAATATTTTTATCTCTGTTTATTTTGAATAATTTCTATTACAATGCCTTCAAACGTATTAATGTTTTCTTTTGTAATGTCAAATCTTTTGTTAATCACATATAATGTATTTTTCATCTCAGACATTGTGATTTTCCTCTCTAGAAGTTCAATTTGGGATTTCTTTTTACCTTTCAGGTATCAAATTAACTTTTGAGCATATGGAATACAATTAAAAAACTCACACTACTCTTGTCTACTAAGTTGAACATCTGTTTCAGTTCTGTATCAAATTTTGATTGATTTTTATCATCATTATGGACCATATTTTTCTGCTTTTCTTCCTGCCTAGTAATTTTTGGTTGGATGTTAGATATCATGAATTTGACTGTGTTGAATCCTGGATATTTTTATATTCTTATAAATATTCTTGAGCTTTGTCTTAGGAAACAGTCGAGTTACTTGGAAACAATTTTTCTTTTCAAGTCTTACTTTTTATGATCCATTAGGTAGGTCTTAAGCAGTGCTTCATGTAGGGCTAATTATTTTTCTTCCCACTACTGAAGCAAAAATCCTCTGAGTACTGTACCCAATGCCCATGACTTATGAGGTTTTCCAGTCTTCCTGATGGGAACAGGCATTTTTTCTAACTCTTCTGTGAGTGCCAGGAACTTTACCCTCTCATCCTATCAAGTGTTTCTCCCCACTGGGCTCAGGTAGTTTTCTCACATACAAACAATAGGTATTTTGCAGAACATACAAGAGGCCCCTTGGAAGTTCTCTGATGATCTTTATGCAACCCTCTCCTTGCTGGTACTCTGTCTATGACCTCTAGCCTCCTTGGTCTCCTCACACTTTCAGCTCCATTTCTTTGACTCTGGGAGTTTCTTGGATGTCTCCTGCTTTGCTCCTCCCTGCACCACAGTCTGGAAGTCTCCCAAGGCAATATGCCAGGAAAACCACATGTTTCATCTTGTTTCTTATCTCTCAGATCACTGTCTTCTATCATGTAGTATTCAGTGTCATGAAAACTGTTCTTTTGTATATTATGTCAAGATTTTTAATTGTTTAAGACAGGAGTGTAAATCTAGGACTTAATATTCCATATTAGCTGACATCAGAAATGAGATATATTGTTTTTAAGAAAGTAAACTATCTGAACATTTTAGGCCTATTTATGATGAGAGATTATCTATTTGGATTTAAAGGTGAGAAAAATGCTGAATGGTAATATCCCTTTTAAATAAGATAAGTGTAAATCACTTTCCTCTAAAATTAGCAAAGCATTTTGCAATATTATCATATTTCTTTGGGTTTCCCTTTGCTTTCAGAAGGCCTATTTATATTAAAGTACCTTGTGCAATACAGGCTTACCTAAAAAATGCCCAGACCTTAGATCCTAAGATTGTCAGTTTGGACCTACGATCACTATAGTGATCTTTTTAAGCAGAAGAAGAGTCGAAGTGAGCATCACGTTGACACCTTTCCCTCGTCTTTACTCTGTGCTTTTTTTCCCAAGAAAAAGACTTCACACCTCACACCAGCTACTTAGAAGGTTTACATAGTTCCACCTCTGCCTTCTTTCAAAAGACCTGAGGCTGGTTTTTGTTTGTTTGTTTTTGTAACCAAATGGTCAGAATGAGAATTATTGTAACCTGAAAAATGCTGAAGATAAAAACTCTGAAAACCCTGATATTCTTGAGGAGGCAGATGGAGAAATGGTCATTTAAAAAAAACTTTTATCTCTTAGAAGGCCACCTAATCATAGACAAGAATATCCACAAAAAATAGCACAGATTCACTGTCACTGTCACTACCTTATAATGGAACAGGACTCAGAGAATTATTTAAGCTTGGAAGTCAGGAGATACCATTGGGAACTTACAAGCTGAATCATCAGACTCCATTTTCTTTTGAGAACTTAGTGAGATTTCTCAGGAATTGTTGCCTATATAAAGAACTCACTGATTGCCTCATTCAGAATATGCCAAGAGCATCTAGACAAAGTAGCAGTTAGCCAAAATAAAGAGATACATTTAACTGTCAATGAAGGATTTAGATTCATTTTGGCAAGATTTAACTTTATTCAAATGGATTAACCAAGCAGTAACATTTGCATCCATCTGGCCAATATGTCCCAGCTAAAGAGGACTGCTTTGCACTAAACCAGTGGTTGTCAACTGGGGCCACTTGCACCCCTCAGTGGACATTTGGGAATGTCTTGAGACGTCTTTATTTCCACAACTTGGATGAGGAGTTGCTACTGACATCTACCCAGTAGTGCTAGAGATTATCAGGACAGCTTCCCAACAATACAGAATTTTCCAGTCCAAAATATCAATAGTGCTGAGGTTGAGAAAACCTGCACTGAATAAACCTCTGGCAACCTATAAATACTTAGTAGACGAATGTATACAATATAATAATAAATGTTTTAATCAGATCAAAGCTTTGATGAATAACACTAGACTTCGCTTCTAAGAGAAAGTTCATGAAAAAAATAGTGTTTGTCCTACAAAAAACGGCAAGTGTCAGAGAGGATGTGGAGAGAAGGGAACTCTCATACACTGGTAGTGGGAATGGAAACTGGTGCAGCCAATATGGAAAACAGTATGGAGATTTCTCAAAATATTAAAAATAGAAATACCAGGGGCCCGGCCCCATGGCTGAGTGGTTAAGTTCATGCGCTCCGCTTTGGCAGCCCAGGGTTTCACCAGTTCGGATCCTGGGCGCAGACATGGCAC